CTTTTACAGCACAGCTAGCTAACAGCAGGAAGGGAAAAGTCCCATGGTTTCCAACGCCCCTTTGTGATTCACACCAGTGAAAGCTTAGCCATGTTAAATTTTGCTATATTCTAACTCTTCAGATAGGCTCCAGATCTACTGCTACCCTGACCAGGTTAAAGCAGTTAATGATTATGAATGAATTAATGACTGAATTAATTAATTAATGAAAAATACAGAAAATATTCAATAAATGAAATAAAACATAAAAATACAAAATAATAAACACATTTCAAAATTATAAATAGGCCTAAATAAATTTCAAAAGTTCAGAATGGTTGCTACTAGTTTTTAACTATGCAGTTCACCTTATCAATTTGTTATAGCTAAATGTATATCATACTGTGACAAAGACCACATAAGCGTATCTATTTGAGATAACTTGACATCTAGGCTGATATTTTTTGCAAAGAATGACAAGAATTGGCTACAAGATATGAGTTGATGAGTAGATATCTTTATGAATATCAAAGGTTTTGACTACAACTGCATTAGCTTATGCTTATCTTGTGACCAAAATGCAAAGACTGCATTTGAAGTAGGCTGGATGTGTGTCTCTTACAGATAATCTGTTCTTTTCCTTTTAGGTTTGCTATTGTGGCATGGTTCTTGGCTGTGTCATGCATGGGTAAGCCAACTTTTATAACTTTTTTATACTTTTTTATATAACTTTTTTATTTCAGATATCAGACTTTGGATATTCTATCAGAGGAACTGAAATCCAAACAACAGCTGAGGCTTATGTGACTCTAAATAATGATCACAAATGAGAAAACAAAGGGTAGATATGAGGCAAACATTGTTATTCTTTCCCAGATATAGTGATAGTTGCTTTTATTGTATGTATTAATATAAAAGCATCTCTTCTACATCTATCTCACATTCTAGTGAGTGAAAGTCTTTTTAAAGTACACAGTTACACTGGGTGTGTCCCAACATAACTGAATTTAAGATTATGTTTTAATAGCAAAGTTTCAGATAGTTCTGTAATGAATCAGCCTTTAGGTTTGAATGAATGTGGGAGGGAGTGTTTGTATTAGCTAACACAAAATTATGAACTAGTCCTTGTAATAAAGGAAGTAGTCTTTGTAAGTTGTTAACTCAGCATCTCTTTGTTGTACTTCCCTAGAAGTAGAAATCACAGCCTCCGGATGTTTCTTTGTAGCCTTGTAGTCTTTCTATTCTTGCACTCAGGACTTCTATCATCTCTTAATTATTAATTAATTAATATTAATATTTACACTCTCTCTCCACTTTATTTGGAACACCTGATCACCTGCACATACATGAAGTTATTTAATCAGCCAATCATATGGCAGCAGCGCAATGCAAAAAAAATAAAAATAAAATAAAATCATGCAGATACAGGTCAAGAGCGTCAGTTAATGTTCACATCAGACATCAGAATGGGGAAAAATGTGATGTCTGTGAATTTAACTGTGACATGGTTGTTGGTGCCAGATGGACTGGTTTGAGTATTTCAGAAACTGTTGATCTTCTGGGATTTCCACACACAACATTCTCTACAGTTTACACACATTGGTGTGAAAAACAAAAAACACTGAGTGAGCGACAGTTCTGTGGGTGGAAACACCTTGTTTATAAGAGAGGTCAGAGGAAAATGGCCAGATAAGGATATAGTAACTCATATAATCGCTGTTTACAACCGTGGTGAGCAGCAGAGCATCTCAGCATGCACAAAACATCTAACCTTGAGGTGGATGTGCTACAACAGCAGAAGACCACATTGGGTTCCACTCCTGTCAGCCAAGAACAGGAATCTGAGGTTATCTTGGGCACAGACTCACCAAAACTGGACAGCTGAAGATCACCTGGTCTTTTTCCAGTTTCCAGAAATACCCAAACCAGCCCATCTGGCACCAACAATCATGCCACAGTTAAAGTCTCAAAGATCACACTTTTTCTTGATTCTGATGTTTGATGTGAACAATAACTGAAGCTCTTGACCTGTATCTGTATGATTTTAGGCATTGTGCTGCTACCACATGATTGGCTGATTGAATAATGCATAAATGTGCAGGTGTACAGGTGTGTTCCTATTAAAGTGACTGGCAAGTGTATTAATTATATGTCTTGCATGCATTGCTTTGTTTTACTCTCTGATTTTGAATTATATTCAAGTTTGAGGACTGGGAGGGCCTTTCCTAAACCTTTATTTAGTTCAATATGTAGTTCATAGTTAATTTCGAGGTATGTTTTGGATCACTGTCTTCTCATAATTTTTGCTTCAGTTTTTCACTGACTGCCAGACATTAGTTTCTATCCTCATAATATTTTCTGTGCCAGTGGATGCCACTCATTCCCAAAGCAGAATACTCTCATGCTTACGTTGTTTCTACACATGATTTTCATTACCTTACTTAGTGGTTAGAACCCTAGAGCCCAGTTTCTGTATTTCATCAGACAATACTTGATTATGAAATGACTGGCTTATGTAAGTGCATGCTTTAGACATGCAGGTAAGGTTTTCTTCCTCTTTTGTCATGATTGTATAACATGACTCTACACTGTGCTACCTGAGCCATCCTGAATCTCTTTTCAGTTATGTGGAAGTTTTGCATACAAGACTAGCCTCGGGCCAGTATCAGAGATATTTGTTTGTCTTCCAGGTCTTGCCCTGACAGTTCCTTTTTAATATCATTTACTAAAGGAAGAGATTAAAGGTTAGAAGAAGCTCTGGGGTTGTCTTCGTCTGACTTAGATAAAGGCCTATTAAGTTAGTCAGGTTCTGATACCCAACATCATCATAATAATAATAGCAATTATGGATCAGTTGGAAGGGTGCCAAACCTTTTGCACACACCACAAATGTCCCCATCAGCTAAATTCACAACCCCC